GTGGAGAAGGCTGCAAGGCCAGGGGCACAGCATAGGCAAATGCTTCTAGAGTACAGCACAGCATGTTGGTTTTTGACCTGGCACTTGTCAGCCCTGGGTTTAAGCATGCCAAGGAATGTTACCACTCTCATACCGTGAAGCTAAGTGTGGAGCCCAAGGATGGGTGTGAGGCAGGGGTCCTGTCATTTGCTGGGTACCTGCTCTGTGCCCCACCCTCAGCCATCCCCCACACTCCCAGGCTTAGGAAACACAATCTGGATTTTATGTCATCCCCACATGGTGGTGCTGTGTTTCTGGTATCGTTTGAAGCTTCACAAAATACAGTTTCAAAGTTCCAGGATTACGTGTTCTTGCAATTCTACCAGATGGCCACAGGAGGGAGCATGCCACACACACACACACACACACACACACACACACACACACACACACACAGAGAGAGAGAGAGAGAGAGAGAGAGAGAGAGAGAGACAGAGACAGAGACAGAGACAGAGAGACAGAGACAGAGAGACCGAGAGAGCAATGCCCAGTCCTTGAAATGATCTCAGTTGAAATAGAGCAGTGTAGGGTCCTAGGGATTTGATAATGAGCTAGGCACAGCTGGAAAGCTTCAGATGAGTTGTGAAGCCTGCTGAATTCCCCAGTTCAAAGGCTGTGATATTGCAGTCAATGGATTTTTAAGATGCAACCGTTTGAAATATGAACATGAGCTCATGAGCTCTGTAAAAAACAGACAGTGGGCTAAAGTGGGTCATACTAGCAAAGGTATGTGCTAGCAACAGAGGGGGGCAGGAGCAGAGAGAAGGATGAAATTTCACTTTAAAGTATTGGAGGACTAGAGGTACCCTGCAGCGAGAATGCAGCGGATCCTGGGTCAGGGGACCCCAGGACACCTCTCTTTCGACAATCCTTTCTTGGAATAGTCATATGAGTGCAATTCTGATGCTAAGGGTGGCTGACGTTATTGCGCAAAGAGACCCCATGCACAACCCTAGCATCTTGTCTGGTGTGCACAGAGAGCTGCTGCCTTCTGTGCTATGAGGCGCCCTGGAGACAGTGGCATCTCACAGCCAGTTTGCAGACTGGCTCTCTAGTCCCATCAGGCAACTAAACACTGTAGATCTACCATTAGATGCGAATAGAAAATCTTTAGAATAAAGATAGCCATGTAATAACAAGCCTGTGTTAATGCCCTCCATTCTCTCTGAAGCCCATGGTGTTGCTCTCAGGGGCTCAAGGGTCACTATTGCTGCCAGTGACATGGCTGGTTTTCCTGCATTACTGTCAAGTTCATCCTTGTCCAGCTCAAGGCAGGACAGGGCTACAGTACATAGGTGCAGTGTGCTAGTGTTAACTATTCATGGTATAGTCACCCAGCAGACCTGGTGTGTGGGCTATGATGGGAAATGAGCAAAATGACAGACTGAGTCCTGAGTTACCAGGAAGACAGACGGCTGTCAGTGACATGGCCGGGAGAACCAGATCTGTACTCTAAGGCAGGATCTCGGTGGCTCACCTACACAGGCCCTGTACGGTCAAGGTCAAAAGAGAAGTCATAAGCAGACACAGGCCACTAGAGTAAGGAACACTGTGCAAAGGAAGGTGGGCTTTGGGGACAAGCCAGTGGGCATGAGTCCTACCTTCTCAATCTAATGTCTGTGTCCTTCGGACATTCAGCCTGAGCTTCAACTCCCTTATCTTTGAATTGTGGATAAAACACATATCCATCATAGCAGTATGTGTTCTCAGCACAAACCAGTGCCCCACGACTGCCAGCACACAGTAGGAACTCACTCTGTAGGAGTCAGAGACCTGGGAGGGCTGGCAGGTACCCAGGAGAGATCAGGCAGGTCTACAAGTCAGGGAGGCTTCCTTGAGTGAACCTGGACAGGGTCTTGAAGGTGGGTTGGAGTGAGGAGCATTTCAAGATGGGGTGCAATACCCACAACGGTGGGGAGGGCAGAGGCTGGGCATTAGCACACCAAGGTCTTTTCCCACACACTATTGGCCTTCTGTCTCTTTCAGGTGCCCAGATAGACGACAACAATCCAAGGCGTACGGGCCACCGCATTGTGGCTCCCCCTGGTGGCCGCTCTAACATCACCAGCCTCGGTTGACCTCGGATGAGCCAGATAACGCAAGAGTGAAGGATTCTGGGAAAATGTCCATTCCTTTTCCTGTCTCTGTTTTTTGAAGCCCACAGTTTTAGTTGGTACTGATGGAGGGGAGATTGAGTGATGCTCTTTCCTTCTCTGTTTAGGAAGAAGTGGTACTAGTGTGGTGTGTTTGCCTGGAAGTTCCTTGCCCACAGTGTGTGTTCACACAGACTCCACCTCAGAGCATGGTGTCTCCATTTTCCCTTCCTAGTGATGATCCCCAGGTGTAGCATCGTCCTATTCCATCCCCTCCGTTCCTCCACGCCCCTCTGAGTGATGGTTCCTTTGCGCCCTGTAGCTGTTCTAGGATAGGATGCATGTTAGTAAGTTACGTATGCAAGTCTGAGCGCGGCTGACGGACATCGCCGAGGACCGACATAGACACGATGCCAAGACCTTAGCCCCCAGGGGAGACTCCCAAACTCTTAAAAAGGAAGGCTCTTCCCCGAGAGTCTTCACTGGAAAGCTGCCGTCCCCATCCCCACCCTGACTGAGACCTGTGAATATGCAGAATGGCAGGGAAGCCTTCCACCTGGTCATAGAGCTCCATCACCCACGTCCCGCGTCAACAACCCGGTCCCTGTACCCGGCCATGGTGTCTTTCTGGTCTGTCTGTTCTTCCAACCAGCCTTGGGCTTTGGGCCCAGCCAGGCTCTCACCCAGGAAGGGGTGTCCTGACACCCCCGCCTCAGGCCTGAGGATGGTGGGGTAACAGCTCTGCCCAGGCTGCCTGAGTCCCTGTTCCTCCGAGGAGGTCAGCGGGGCAGTCAGATTTTTACAGTTTTGTACAGTTTTCCTTTGTATTCACTTCCATTTTTACTTAATAACTGACTTGTTGGTGGCTCTTATTTCTGAATTCAAAGCTTGTGAAAAGAAAAATAAAGAAATTAAATTGCCCGTTGACCTGCGTGGGTGTTTTCGTTTGGGTGGATCAAAGGTCAAGCGGTCATCCTGACTCCGTGATGACCAAGTACTGGGGACACTGGGATGGCAGGTGGGAGGGAATGATGAATGCATGCCTTGGGAGAGATGGGTCAAGACCCCGGATCAATAGGTAGGCTTCTGGGATAGGCACTGACTGTCAGCTCAGCTCCCAGCCGGGGCTGCATAGGAATTGGGTCACTAAGGACAAAAGTGCTCGATACTCTCCATGTTGCTCTCCAGAGCAGAGGGCCTGGGAGATGCTGTGCCTTTATAAGGAGCCACACTGCCTTCCAAGTGAATTTTAGGGGCTAGAACTTTTGAAGATATACTGCTTTATATCGTGATACCAATATAGACATGGCATCTTGTATGCAAATGAGAACAGAAAGGTTGCAGTTTAGTAATGATGTGTTTGCATCAGCTTGGGCTTAAAGAACCCCAAGGATCCCCAAGTGAAGGGCACCCTTGCAAATCGAGGTGGCAATCTTTCTCCACAGTTCCATAGAGGCCCTGTAAGAAAGGACATGGGGCTAGACCAACTTGGCTTTGGGGGAAAAGATCCTTATTCATGGTGGCTATTCCTATGAAGGAAAAACATTGCAGGACTTTATGAGAGGCTAGGACCTACTTAGGATTTGCTGTGGATCTCCTGGGCACCCAAACAGTCTTTTCTACATGCCTAGCTACTGACTTCAGAATCCCTGTCAGGCCGTGCCCAAGGTTCACTGGGCAACTTGGGTCCCAGCAAGTACCTGACTGTATAAGGGTAAGTTTGCAGGGCACAAGCCCCACACTGGGAAGGAGGTTCTGTTCCCTCCCCCACTTCTGTGTTTGGGACTGTGTACCAACTCCGTAGAAAGCCAGAATCTGACCATCCCCTGCCTCCTGAGGAGCTGTGGTCTCCTATGATGACCTGGGAATAAAGTCATGTGGGCAGGTGCTGGACAAGAGCTTCTCCTAGGCCAGCCATCACCGTCTTTAGTGTCCCTAACTCCCCTCTGAGCTGCCTTCCCATGCATGGTCTCCGGAATGCAGGAGAGGTCCTGGCTTTAAAGGTATGAAGGGGTCATGGAGAGAAGTTGAGGCTTGGCAACATATGGCTGGGTTAGAGTATTTGAAGGAAGCACAGAAGAGGCTACTGGTGAAGGCACAGCCCAGATGCAGACAAGACCTTGGCATTTCAGAGATGCCAGTACCACGGGACAACCACCAGAGACAGTAGCATGTGTGGAGTGGAGTCAGCCGGAGCCTAGGAGATCAGGGTGTGCGCTGTAGTTAGCAGAGCCAGCGAAGTGGAGCCGTCCCGGCTCTTACCAGTCCACAGGGTTGTGAATGGGTACTGAACATTTGCGGCTGAAATTTACATTGCTGATCTTTGGTTTGTTTTATTTTGATTGTGACTGGCCTGGCTCTTTCCTCTTGGAGTAAGGAATTTAACTTTTCTTTTCTTTTTTTTTTTTTTTTTTTGAGTCTTCTTATTTTTTAAAAACAGGAGTCTAAGAGATGTTGGAATGTTAGAGACTTCAGACACTTTCCAAAGAGACTTTGGAAATATATTTTATATTCTGACCATAGCCTTCCCTCCCTCCTCTTCTCCCACTCCCTCCCCCACTTCCCCCCACCTTCCTCTATCCATCCTTCCTTTGCATTCACTCAGAAAGAGGCGAACTTCCCCTGGGCATGAGCAAAGCATGGCACATCAAGCTGCCATAAGACCAAGCACCTCCCCCTGTATTCAGGCTGGGCAACACAATCCAGCATGAGGAATAGGTTCCCCCAAAGCACCAGGGACAGCTCCTGCTCCCATTGCCAGGAGTTCCACAAATAGACCAAGCTACTCAACTGTCACATACATGCCTAGGTGGGTCCCATGCAAGCTCCCTGGTTGTTGATTCAGACTCTGTGCATTCCCATGAACCAGGCTAGCCATTTCTGTCGGTTTTCTTGCGATGTCCCTAATCCCCCACTCCTTTCCTTGGCCTCCTATAATCTCTCCTCCCTCTCCTCAGCAGACTAAACCTTCCAAGTGAATTTTAGGGGCTGGAACTTTTGAAGATATACTGCTTTATATCGTGATACCAATATAGGCATGGCATCTTGTATGCAAATGAGAACGGGAAGGTTGCAGTTTAGATGTGTTTGCATGCCAAGTTGACAATGTGTGTGCCACTGACAATGTGTTTATGTGTCGAGCTGACAAGGGGTCAGTTGTACTGGCTGGTTGTGTTTGTCTCTTTGTTTTTCCAATATGGATACCAGCTGGAGTCATCCAAGAAAGGGGGATCTCAATCAAAAAATGCCTCCATAAGATGGGACTGGAGGCAAATCTGTAGGATGTCTTCTTGGTGACTGATGTGGAAAGGCCAAGCTTAGTGTGGGTGAGACCACCCCTGGGCAGGCGGTTCTGGATGCTATGAAAAAGCAGGCAGAGCAAGCCCTGAGGCGCAATCCAGTAAGCAGTGAGCCACAAAGTGTCCCTCTAAGGTCTCTCCTTCAGTTCTTGCCTGCAGGTTCCTGCCCTCAGTGACAGACTGTGACACAGATGTGTAAGATGAAATAAACCCTTTCCTCCCCAGGTTGCTTTGGGCCATCATGTTTTATCACACAATAGAAATCCTAAGAGACTCAGTTAACCAGCCAGTCTTGGTGCTGGAGGAGGCAAGGAAGATCATTTGTCTTTGTCACACTCACACCCTCAAACCAGAGGACTTAGATGACAATAGCGATCCCCAGGCAAGCAGTGTTGTAGAATTCTGCAGGAAAGAAACCATAGCTTTTCAATATATTCAGGTGACATGCTTCGTGAAAGCCACCAGAGGGCACTGTGGACTCACGCTGAGACCATCAGTCTGGGTAGACAAGGTTGATTTGGTTAAATGGATGATTACAGGGGAAGTGTCAGTCCTTAAAGTACTTGACTTCTAAGCACGGGGACCTGCGAGCCAGGTAGCCTCTCTTAATCGGTGAGTTCTAGGCCAGTGAGAGGACTGGTCAAAAAACAAATAAACAAACAAAGGTGGATAGAACTTGGGAAGCCATATGGGAGGTTGTCCTCTGGTCTCCAAATGTACACACACACACACACACACACACACACACACACACACACACACTGCATACACATGCAGAGGGCTTTCCATGAAGGCCACCTCTCTAACTAGCCAGTTCTAGTTCATATTTTAAGAAACGAAAAGTCCTGAAAGTCCAGAAGACCCCTGAGAGGGGCTACAGTGTCACAGAAGCCAGCGTGTTCTAGAAATCTGTGGTACTGTAGAGCTTTGCCGTGTTGGGCTTGCCCAGGGGAGGCACACCTTGACCTATCACTGAGAAACACCAGAGATGAACAGGTGGGTAGACCCCAGGGTTGCTTCCCATTGTTCTACAATGCACAGGAAAGCTTCAGTCCCCACAGGCCTGAAACAGCAAGGGCAACCTCTCAACTCCTGGGCTGGAGGTTTTTATTCGGAATGAGTCAGGGATGGCTCATATGCAAGGAGGCTGAGGCCCGGGGAGCAGGACAATGGAAGAGGGAAGGAGAAGGAAGGTCGGATGCTGCATCAGCCGATCCCTCAGTCAGAAGTTCTGAACCTCAGGCACCACTCGCAGGCACACTGGTGTCCCTGGGCAAGAGTGTGAAGCAGTGTGTTCATATGTGCCAGTGCTCATCTCAAATGCCCCAGTGGGTGCCAGTCACAGCCTCCTGGCTGCACGTGGGTCTGGGTCTGACATGAGAGACTCCATTTTTGGCATTAACAGGTTTCACACCCAAGCAAAGAGTGATTGCACCCAAATGTTGACAGTGATGATTGGGGATACCTGATGGTGAAAGAGATTGTCCCCTGAGTGGGAAAGACCTCTGACCTGTGGGGCAAGTGGGGCTGGTTTGGAAGCTTATGGAAGTCCTTCAAATACCTCTGGAGGAGCAGGTGATCTGGGGACCTCTCCTCAGGGGAGGGACTGCTGGCTGCTGGAAGATTTCCCCTCCGCAGTGAAGCCTGAGGGTAGAGATATCCTCCTATGTCCTCCATGCCCAAGGAGCAGATCTTGTGGTACGTGACCGGCATGTGTGGTCACCAAGCTCCAAATAGTTCAGAACAGGCCTATGGAGTTCAAAGTCCATGGCTGTGCCAAGGACACTGGCTCTGAGACTCTGACATCTTTGAGTAACCAGGTCCCAGGACTCCTGAACCAAAAGATAGAAATACCAAGAGCAAAAGTTAGCTGGTCCTGGTTGGAACTCTGGCAGGACATGACTGTGGAGCAATGGGGGTGAAACAATGACTTTGGGCTCAGACAATACCAGCGATGCTGAGACCCTGGCAGGTAGGACTCAGTGGAGAGGCTGCAAACCAGGGGCCATTGGAAAGCACCAGGACACCGTGAGGCTGGAGGGCAGGAGTAGAGGAAGCAATCAGGAAAAGTGTACCAGGGTGGAAGCCGAGGTTCTCCAAGGCCTGTCTCCACCACTTCTAGTCAGGGAAAGTGCACCAGGGCGGAAGCCGAGTCTCTCCAAGGCCTGTCTCCACCACTTCTAGTCAGGGAAAGTGCACCAGGGCGGAAGCTGAGGTTCTCCAAGGCCTGTCTCCACCACCTCCAGTCATCCCAGGCACTTGGTTGTCTTGCCATTTCCACTTTCTAAGATAGGTGGCTTCCCGTCTCTCAAGATCTGCCTACAACTCGTGGCCCAGTCTGAACCATAAGGCTGCAGCCACAGAGGAAGCGAGGCAGGCAGTAGGTCCATCTCAGCAGGGTTCCAACTACAGATTGCTTCTTCTCTGCAGCATCTTTCTCGAGCTCTCTCCATCGCCAGCGTCGCTGTCCTGCTGACCCAGCCTTCTGCTGCTGTGGACACAGATGACACATGGATGCTGCCGTGTTAATGCAGGACCAGCCAGCGGAAGAAGACAAACTTCCGGGGGGTGGACGCCATGTGCAAAAACACGGCAGAAGCCACCCAGCACCAGAGGAGAATGGAGACACCGGCCCAGTTGACTCAGCAGCCCCAGAGCTGATTCACCAGCGACAGTTCCCAGTAATACAGACTACTCCTGTTATGGTCCCTCCCTGCCCATTATTCTCAATTTTATTACCAGCATTTCCTGAGCCTCATAGGAGTACCCCAAGAAGGGTCACTCACTCCCAGACTTCAGACAATTGACAGAGGTCAGGAGAAAGGCAGTGGGCTGGGATCCTTCTCACCTGAGTGGTCCTGTGGTGTGGTCCGCCAAGGTAGGGTGATCATTGTTGGGCGGCCCCAGGTCCTCTCTCTCCCGAGGTGGGGGCTTCTTTCTTCTGGTCCTTACCGGCTTCTCTATAGAAGACAGACAGGCCCAGGATGACTCCGTGACTTTAGGTGGTGTTTCTTGCCTCCACTATTTGTAAGCAACCTCGGTGGGCAGGTGGACTTCGTACCCACTGTGCCCACATCACTGCTAAGCAAGCTGAGCATCAGGAAGCTGAACTTTTCCCCACACCCTACAGCCTCCTCTCGACAGAGCTGGGATGGAACTGGGTGCACCAGGCTCTGTTTCTGCTTCACCCGCAGCATCCAGGATCCAGGAGACAGGAATGGGAGAGGGCAGAGTGCAGGTGCTGGCCAGAACTTGTGTGTGCAACACCCATGAACCACTTCCACCACCAGATGATATCAGCTTGGGATGCTGCTGATGTATCTCTGGCAGGGGAAGAGGTGTCAGCTCTCCATTTGACAGATGTGAAAATAGAGATGAGAATAAGATGAGGCCAGAGAGGAGTAGAGCCAAGAACTGGCATGGTGGGATGCTAGAGAACCAGGGCCTCTGTGATGTCCTGATGTACAGAGAGCAGGGAAGTCCGGAGAAGCTGTGCAAGGCACTCGAGGCTACACAGTTGATTAATGGTGGCTGTGGACTGGCACCCACATCTAAGCTCGATGGCTGCAGACTGGCATCCACTCTTCTAAGCTCAGAGCCCTTCCTGCTGCAGCATCACAGTGCAGAGACTTACCTGGCAGTCCTCGCTTGCTGGAGAATGGCTTGTTTTCAGTAAGGGGCACTCGGGCCAGTGCTGCCAGCTCTGAGATAAAGGTCTGTTCAGCTTCCTGACGGACAAATGGAAGATGATCAGGTTGCCTCTCGGCCCCTCAGCCGTGAGCTGAAGCCTTACGTGGTGGGGGACGGCTGGTGACGACACCCCATGTTCCAGTGTGGAAAAGGACTTTTCAAGCGGCCACACATGAGGACAGGATCAGGACAGAGGAAGGGTGCCCCTCTAGACACCTGGGTCTCCTCTCCTAGTCTCATAGCCCTGTCCACAAATGAGGACTCTGCTCCACTCCAGGGCATGGCTGCCAGAAGCCCAGAAGCCATGGTTTCCTAACCATAGTTTCCCTCTCTGTAGCTTCACTGCAGCTACCACCTCAGTGGCTCTTAGAGGGTGTGGAGAGCTCTCAGATCAGCTACCGTTTGCAATGGACCCCTGGGAACAAAGGCTCATCATTGACAGGGTTCTTAAGACCGCTGTCATTACTGCCACTCTTGCCCAGATGGACATGGAAAAGGCCAAATCACTGTCCTATGCCTTCATTCTGAAATTCTGATTTTTTAAAAATTTTATTTATATATTTGTTTGCAATAGTAGTAGCAGTAGCAACAGCAGCAGCAGTAGTAGTAATAGTAGTGTGTGTGTGTGCCACAGTGTACACATGATGGTCACAGGACAGCTTCTAAAGCCAGTTCTCTCCCTCCACCCATGTGTTCTGGTGATGGGGCGCAGGCCCAGGTCTGAGAAGCAAGTCATTTTTACCTGCAGAACCTGTCATGCTCTGATTTTGTTTTAAGGCATCCATCCTGTCATCCCCTGATGTTTTTAAGATAGATACTATGGGGTATAGTCACATCTCATAATCTTCCAGGTTGGGACTTTTTTTGTGTGTGGACTAAATGGCCTGAGAGCTAAGCCTCCCTAAATGCTCTGCCTGGAGTGTGAGCCTTAGTTACTGTCAGTACTGCCCAAGAGGCAGAGATGGCGGCTCTTACACCCTGCAGCCATCTTGGTGGCGTTCTACACACAGGGAAATGCTCACTCCTTTACTATGTCCAAAGCCATGGGCAGATGGGTTGCTCAGCATGTATGCCCTGCATACACCAGGGCCATGTGGGACCTGATGTCTCCAAGGGGCTCATGCTCTCTTCAGAAAATCATACTGTGTTGGCCAATGGAACTCAGAGAGTCAAAGATGTCACAGACAGAGGCACAGAGGTGAAGAGGTTTAGAACAGGGCACGGGGTTTTGTTCTGCTGTTTTACAGTGTCCCATGCAGCTGGGTGTAAGCCCAGGTGTGGCCTCTCCCTTGTACCCTAGGCCACCGCCTCTAGTGATAGATCCCCCAAACTACCTGTAGTTGGGTCTCAAGCTGGGCTTCTAGCTGGTCGAGCTCGCGTGCCTTCTGCTTTTGACAGTTCAGGCGGCCTTGCTGGTGCTGTGTGAACTGGCTCAGGAATTTCTTCTGCCGTGACAGCATCCTGGTGGCACGAAGGGATCGTCAACACTGTTGGAACCCTGGGCCAAGAGGTCCCTACAAACCCCTTCCAAAAGACACGCTGCACCACGGACTTGTGACCCTTTGTTGCACGTGTGTCCTGGAGCCTGGAGAGGAGCCAGGAAAACGTGTGTGACTTCCTGCGGTCACATTTTCCAAACAGTTCGGCTCTGACCCTCAGGCTGCATGGCTGCAAAGTATGGCTATAATTTAAGATATCCTGCATGCACACGGCACTTAGATTCCTAGGAACGTTTGGGGACATCAGCAGGACAGAAGCAAAGTCAGGACATTCCTAGGTGGGGACTTACGGCTGCACACTGGCATCTTCTCAGGGGCAGAAAATCTTACCTAAGGAGAGAAGTTCCCATGAAAGGCAGAGGCCTTTCAAGACCACCAAGGAAGCTCATTTTCTGGGGACAGTGTCTGAGAAAACCTTATTATGGCAGCCCATTCCCTCTGAGAAGTAGGAATGGAGGCTGGGCAGGGGCCAGGTCCCTCACACCGAGAGCATGCCTTCTCTCTTGGGCACAGACCCCTTCCCCCTCTCCATCTACAGCAGATTGTGCTCTGGCCCTCTGTAAACAGGGACATCTATTCCTAGCCTGTAGTCTGTGGCTGCTATTTTCCTCCTTTACATCTCTGGGGCAATTTCCAGAAAGGTTGACTAGTTCTGAAGGCGGAAGTCACCTTTAGCACCAATAGGCATGTCCTGGAGTACACAAGGTGTAAGAATGTCTCACTGCCTCGCCCTGCTGCTTGCTCTCTAGGCTGCTGCAATACCTTTCCTTGCTTCCTTGCATTTGGCTTGTAAATTTCTATTCATCCTGTAAGACCAAATCATCTATCCACCCATAATCTATCTCTCTATCCATCCATCCTTCCATTTATCCATCTCCACCCATCCATGTTCCATCAATCCATCTATGGTCTATCCATTCATTCTTCCATTTATCCATCTCCACCCATGCATGTTCCATTAATCCATCTATGACCCAGTTATCCATTATCCATGATCCACATATCCATTCATCTCCATCTACCCCTCACTATGTCCATGATCCATCCATTCATATACACCCATCTATAGTTTATCTAACCAGCCACAATCCATCAACCCATAAACGATCCTTTATCCATTTATTCATAATTTATCCATCCATCCATCCATCCATCCATCCACTCATGATCTCCCCATCCATGATCTACCTACTTGTCCCCCGTTTTTCTCATCAAAGTACTTCTGGCCAGACAGTCACTGTGACCTAACACTGCCACACATGTATATCATGTACTTTTATTATTGCACTTGCTCACTTCCACTTCTTATCTCCTGGCCCTCACCCCATACTGATCCCTTCCCCTCCCGTGACAGTTCCCTTCCAATTTCATGTTTTCTTAAAAAGCTAGATTCTGCCTAAGACAGAGTGTGTGCTTGTCATTTTGAGTCTGGTTTATCTCATTTGACACAGTTACCACCTGTTCCATCCTGTAAACGACATGCCACGGTTTGTAATGGGTCAACGACACTTTATCAAGTATATTTATCTCTACCTATTTATCACATTTGTGATATCACACACCCATTTATCCACTGATGGGCCTCTGGGCACTGTGGAAAGGGCTGCAGTAAGTGTGGGTGTGTGAGTCCCTCTGCCGCATGCTGACTGAGATGCTTAGTTTATTGTCAACTGGCCACTAACAAGGTGGTCCCTTGGGAAGAAGGAACCTCAACTGAGAAAACGCCCCTAAAGATTGGCCTGTAGGCAAGCTTGTGGGGGCATTTTCTTGATTAGTGATGAGTATGGGAGGGTCTAGCCAGTCCCACCCCTGGGGAAGCGGCCCTGAGTTGCAGAAGAAACAAGCTGGGAAAGCTATGAAGAACAAGCCAGAGAATAACATTCATCCACGGCTTCTGTATCAGTTCCTGCCTTAAATTCCTGTCCTGACTTCTCTTCATTATGAACACAGAAGCCAAAAAAAATCCCTTCCTCCCCATGGTCATGGTGTCCATCACAGCCTCAGAGACCCAGCTAGAATGCTGACTCTGGTGCCTTTGGGCACAAACCCTAAATAAGTTGACCTACCGCCTCTTTACTGACCCCCAAAGCTCCTTCTTTCTATCCTGGGGATCCAGTCTTTTCTTTGTCACCCTGATTCTTCTCACCCATTAAATAACAAGGAGGAAACCTCTGGTTTGTCTGTTTACTCTGCAATGGCCTAGCTCTGTCTTCATGGAGCTCTCCTTAGGAATGGGCAGTGGCACATAATGTCTGTCACACAGCAATGTCTAGCTTTCCAGCATGTTCCCCCCTGACTCTCAAGGAAGCCGAGTCTACTATGGACTCAAGGAGAGACCATGAGTATCCTCTCTGTCAGGCTGGCTCTCCCCTCTCATAAACCATGTGGAGTTTGACCAGGGAGCCACTGAGACCTGTCTTGTTCTAGGTCAAAGAAATCCTGTCTCTAAAAACTAACAAAAATATTAAGGTAGATGGTGTCTAAGGGACAACAGTTGAGGTTATGCCTGGGCTGCTACATACACTTGTACTTACACACACACAAACACACACACACACACACACACACACACACACACACACACACACACACCAGTCTTCACACAAATTCTCACCTTGAGGCTGGTTCCTGGGGAGCCCAAGATAGAAATGAAAGAGTTCAGAGCTGGCTGTGAGGCAGCTCTGCCAGGGAAGCCATCAACAGGCAAACCATGCAGGATCCCAAGTCCACCATGTAGACAAGAGTACCCCATGCAGAGACCCCACAGACAACCCTGAGCCCCACCTCTGTTGTACCGCCTGGGTAGCTCCATGGGTGTCTGCTGTCTGGCTCCCCGACGGTGCTGTCTGGTTCCCTGACGGTGCTGTCTGGCTCCCCGATGGTGGGTCACTGAATTCTTGCTTCTTCCACACCTTGTAAGTGTTGATTCTCTCACCTGGACCCACAGATATAAGGCAGTCAAGCTGTCCCTTTGAAAGGTAGACTCTGCTAGGCCTGGGGTGAAGCTGGGGGCCTGGGAAAGGGGCGAACATGACACACCTGCTCTCCGAGCGCGTCAGAGGCACCAGTACGGGGAAGTGCAAGAGAATGTGATGGCCGCTGTGGCACAGCAAAGCACCCATGGCTCCCCTCTAGCTCTCTGTCAGGAGCAAGGAGAAGTGACAAGCAAGCTTCCACAGTAAGAGGCTGCCACAGAAACCTTCCAGAGGCAGAGGCAGCAGGGAGAAGGGTTGGGTGAGCTGAGCTGGGGCTATGTGGTCCTTGGGACGCCAAGTGTCAGCGCTGTTAGGAGAAGGCATCTGGCCTTGATCTCACACTCACTGCCTGCAATTCTTTATTATGTGCAGAGCTACCTATTCAGAAAAACTGTGACATTACTATTATTATTATTATTATTATTATTATTATTATTATTATTACGTGTTGCCCTGGCTGAGAGCACTGCCTGTTGCATAATTACTATAGTGCCACTTTAACCTAGGAATCCATGCTTGACCACAGATGACAGACAACCCTCCCGGAGATGCCCCTCTGTCAAATAACCTAATACCCAAGGAGTATTTTGGGGTGGGGGGAGATGTAGTTCTACACTTTGCTGGTAGTGAGGTTCCCAGCAGCTGCTGACCTGGCTGGGCCACCATGCACAGAGGGGGCTTCATCAGCAGAGTTATGAACAGGCTTCCTGGGCCCTGCTCCTTAGGGAAACAGTCCCTTCAAGAGAGGGGGCTTGCTACACTCTGTTAGGGAAGTCAATGACACACACCTGCAGCAAAGCTAGGGAGCAGGAGAATGGACTGTCAGAGCTCAGAGGACAGGAGGAGGGTGAGCCCAGCCCTAGTCCCACAGATGGCAAGTAGAGGCCTAATGTGAGGGAGAGTACAGGTTCTGGTACTGACTGCTTTGCGGATGTGCAGGTGTCTCTTGCTAAGCAAGCCCAAATCTCTGAAAAACTGGGGGGGAACTTGGAGTCACTGGTGGATTCCTGAGCGCACACCAGATCTCAACCGAACCCTCCTGAATGAGGGGAGGGTGAGGCAGGTGGCAACTGAGCCCAGCTGAGAGCAGTGACAGACACAAAGGGTACTCCAGAACCTTCTTCCTGTCCCTCCACCTGGGGCTCAATCCCAGCCTATCCCGGGGGAATGCAGCAAAGGGTGTGAGCTGCAGAGTCAGTGCCACTCTGAGGACCCTCATGCAGGAAGGCAGGAAGGCTAGGAAAAGCCTGAGGGAGCTCTGGGTGTTATTTAAGTGTTGTGGAAGGGGTGGCTGTCATCCAATGCTTCACAGGTATGGTGGTGGGAGGGGATTAGCTATAAAAGGCCTGGGTAGAAGATTCTCAGGGTCTCAGGAGCTCTGCTGGGCCCACTCTTACTCCTGGTTACTGCATCTCTTTGGCTACCAGGCAGCTCAAAGATGGAACGACTTCTGTTTCTCAGCAGGACCTACAAGCATTCATCCCAGATACTTCTCAGATACCATCTAGACTTACTGTATGGTATACACACACGATCTTTCGGCCCCCTTTACTCTTTGCAAAGGCTTCTGAGTCAAAACGGGAAACACACATGCATGCACGCACACATGCATGTGCGCAAACAAACTGGATTCCCCAGGTGGGCCACACCCGACTCCACTCTTGCAAAGCCGCTACTGGCCTCTAGCTCGGGAGACACCTACCCTGCAGGGTCTTCAGGTGCTGCAGCACTTGCTCCTCGTGGACCTGCAGGAGCTTCCCCATGCGCTGGTAATATGCCTGCACGAGGTGGCTGACACTGGTGCTGGTCACATACACGCTCTCCACCACCGTCTCCACCAGCGTCCTCTGTGGTAAGCAGGAGAGACAGGGACACCTGAAAGGTCACAGGTGGAGCCACCTGCCCTACACTGAATTTTCTACCCTCTCCCTAACCCAGACTGGCCAGGACTCAGGCAGGGTAAGCATGGTCACTTTCAGCCGGCCATAATCTTACTTCCCTTTGGCAAGGATGGTCAAGATAGTGGTTTTAATCTAGTTCTGGCCAATCAGATGTAACATTGAGAAGCCTGCTGGGGGTGGGCCATTTTCTTTCTGAGCATTAGTACAAAGCCTTACTGGGTAAGAGACTCCATCAGTTCCATCACCCTGCCAGGCTGTACATATCTGTGTTTGCTAGGCCACAGACACCACGGCCTTCGGCCTCGGTCAGACCTCTCACCTCATGGATCCAGCGGGTAACTAAGGAGATATAGGGTGGGCACTGGAGAAGAGCCCAGACCTGGCTCCAGCTTCATTTCTATTGCTCACTACCTGCCATGCTTTTAGGGTGTCTTTTGTACAGTGAGAAGCCTCACTTTCCCTATCTGTAAATTTGGAATGAGGATCCAACCCGGACTGTGAGGAATCTGAGGAAGCAGGGTGGAGAAGGCACCCAGATGTTGTACCACACTCATATGACTGCTGTCACTATTCTGACCACTGTCACTTAGCCCTGGCAACCAACAGAAACAGCGAGCCACTGCCCACTCATGCAAGCTGAGCTGTGGATCACGAGGCCATCAGGCTCTGTCTGCAAAGCCTCGGGGAAAGCCACACCACTCGGCTGGGATCCGGTTTTGCTGTGCAGTAGGCAGAGGAGAGGGAAGCCAGCCAGGGGTGCCTCTGCTGATACAGAACTAGAGTGGACAGGGCACAGCTCAGGGCTGCGTGATTCTTGGCTGGCAAGCCGGGCACGTGCCACAGGCTGGAAGCTCAAAGACAGGGAAAATGCCGTTCTTCCTGCCCCTTGGTGTCAAGGGACAGGACCTGGCTCTCACCTTGAAGTCTTCCTTGTCCCTTGTTCGGCCCTTACTGGCCACATTCCTTGCATGCACCAACAATACTTGTCCAATGGCCCTCTCTGAGTGCATCTGTAGCAGCTGCCCTGCCTCTTGCACCTCTGCAAGGAGCTGCTGCTGGAGCCGCAGGCCAGTCTGCTGTGCCTCATCTTCCAGTCTGGCCGCCTCCTCCAGGATCCGTGCTTCCTACAAGGGAAGACAAGCTATTCCCCAGCCAGAATGGCTGGACCCTGTGCTGGCCTGAAGGCTGGAGAAAGGAAAGAAAGGGTGGGCAGATTCTAAACTTGCAACACTAGCCCCAAAGATGAGCCCAGGTGTCTGCTGATAGTTCCCTCCCTCACCCAAAGGCATTTATTGAGCATCGGTTGTGGGCTTGGTGTGATCTATGGACCCTCACAAAATGAGGGCCTTGTTCATCCTTCTAGAACACCGTGAAGCCTGAATACTAGGACGGACAAAGTCTCAGAGGCTCAGAAAAGCTGGGTGACTTTCTAAAAGGCAAACAGCAGAGCCAGGTTGAAACCAGGTCCAACTTTGGGGATATCATAGAAGCTGTGGCGGGGCACGTGGCACCAGGAACAAAAGATGGGAACTAGAGCTGCTTCTGCTTAGGTTGGAAAGATGGGGGAACTGGGAACCGGAGCTAGAGAAGTAACCTGTTTGCTCCCTTTCAGGAGGAGCTAGTGACTGGGGTCCTGTGTCGCCAGCAGGACAGAAGCCATCACAGCTTCTGAGGCTTAGGGCTTAGAAGATCCACGCAGGAGACCTAGGGCAGCTGGTAGGGATTCAAAGCCCAGCTTTGAGACTCGCCTATGATGTCAATTTGTTCAAATGTTCACAGAGCAGGAAGGGCCTCTTTCAGTGCCGTCTATGTGCCCACTGTCCCTGAGACTTCACTGGTGGCATTCTCTCCATGCCACCCCCACTAGAATCCCTTGACCTGTGTGTCCCCTCAGAGTCACTTCTGCCGCCCCCCCCCCTTTATGAGCTGGACCATGTTGCCTCAAATGCACTTGTTTAAATTCCAATCATAAGATTTCAGTGTTGAATAGCATGAACACAGAACACGGGAAATTAATCCAGAAGGGTTGTGAGCTTGGGGCTCCATTCACGGTACCTGAAGTTCTCCTAAGAGGTGGTGAGGATCTCAGTATACACAGAACACAAGAGTAGGTGTGTCTGTAGACCAAGAAACAAAGTCTGGGGAGAAACCTGCCCTGCCCTACCTAGACCCCGGCCCTCAGGCACCCCCTCCTGGGAGCCAGTGAGGCCCTGTGAATCAAGTCCCAACCTGTGCCTCTTGTCACACTGCCTGCAAACTCCTGGGGTATCAGGATTCAAAGGAGACAAACAGGACTGGAACTTGGGTCTAATGGAGCACTTACGGGCAGGGTTTTGAGGGAACCACACTGTGTTCTCACCAGGGCTCTGAGCAGCTGCCACTGATGCTCCTCCAGGCAGGGGGAGGCTCCCTGCTCCAGAGCCAGCTGCTCACGCAGCTCCTGCAGGAGCCTCTTCTTCCCGGAGAGCCTCATCTGAGCCAGGGCAGTGGTGGTGGTGCCTCGGAGGGCCAGTCTACGGAGAGCGGAGCAGAGCAGCAGCTCATGGTCCTGCAGGATGCCTCGTGTGGACCTGTGTGAGAGGGCAAGGTTGGTCAGAGCTCTAGGATGTCCTGGACAAGTAGGGGCCACGCCCATAGGAGGAACGGGAGTTAACCATTCCACCACCCACCTGGGGACATCCAGCCAGATCCTTCACAAGTTCAGAGGTACATGCTGTGGCTATGGTGCCTGCTCAGTTCCATTCCATACACAAATTCTAAACACGTTTATAGCCAGAACAAGCACTTGAGTTCTCATGCCCGATAGGTCAAGACAGCACAAGGCCAGGCCAGAAGGGGCCAGTTTTGTTTGTAATGTACAGTGCTTCAGAGAGGCTGAGAAACTGGACAGAGCTTTGGAAGTCAGTGAGTGACAAAAGGCAGATATGGGATACACTCAAGGTTTTCTGCTGTGGTCCTTATCCTGGAGATGTGAAATTACCTCCTCTTACAAAGTCCTGCCATGGAACCAGTCAGCCCCCAGGGATGGGGTTCATCTGTTGTAACTTAAAATCCCTAGTAGGAGAGAGACAAGTGTTCTGGGGAACTTGACACCATAAAATCTGGACCTCCTCTCTGCAGTCATTCAACAAGTATCCAGAGGTCAGTCAATAAAAATAACACAGTCATACAAACAGAAAAAAATGACCCCCCCCCAAAGTGGAAAGAAAACAGAAAAGCTATAAGGTAACATATGAACCAAAAGACTGGAACAGTACAGAATTATGTGTGGAAGGTGCTGGAGAGTCTAGTAAGTACAAAATTGAATCCTAAGAGACAGAAGACTGGTTTATATTAAATATAAATGGACCAACTATTAGTACAGCTCGGGACATAGGCTCCAAGCTATCTGAACATCTGTGAGCCGACAATGTTCAATGAGTCACCCTGGTCCATTCTGCTTATCTTTCTCCCTTCTGATGTGTCACTTACCCCATCCAATAAAACAGGCACACCTGCTGCCATCCTATCCACAAGAGCCACATGCCTGTTGCCATAACACCACTACCATAGCCACCCACTTCCTGTACCAAACACTCTACTGTGCCACACAAGTGACACCAACATAAACCAGGTTCTTGGGGGGGAAAAAATGGGTCATTAAAAAAAGAATATCTGTCATTTTTCTCCTAGAAAACGAGGAAAAAATATTTTCACCAAACTGAAAAAAAACATGCACCATGAACAGCAAAAATGTGGAAAGAGAACATACAGTTGGCTGATGAATGGAGAGTGACTGGAAATGCCCACAGAGGATCTCTGTGATGACAGATGTCTCCAACATCTGGGCCATGTGTGGTAACAGAAGAAAAATGCAAATTTACCAAACATCTGGGATCGTACTCAAACCCAATGTGCATAAATGCACCTCACAAGAGCTATTCCAAAAAGTCTCTACCAAGCAGAATGCTGTGACACAGGCTTCCTTAGCACTGCTCGCTAGCGAAGAACATGGAAACGGTGCATCTTTATTAGCGGGGGAAGCCAGGGCAGCGGATGTGCCCACACTGCAGGTTAGCACACACACATCGAGGTTAGTCTGGAGTCTCACACAGACAGAGTCCATCCTTCAGGGGTCATACTCACTCTTCAGAGAGGCCACTGAATCGGCTCAGGACCCTATGAATGGTGCTCTCCTGGTGCTCCCGCAGCTGCCTCTGCAGTACCGTGGACAGCGCACACTCCTCCAGCCACACCTGTGCTCAGAGGGACAGAGCTGCCTGAAGAAGCTGCAGGGGGTCCATTAGCCCATTTCTGTTTTAAAACAAGTCCCTTTCTTTCCTGATCCTCTTAACATCTTCCCTTGTGCCCACAGGCCCACAGTTCTCCTAGGTAATTTAATATGATCAGAAGGAAGGCTTTCATCTCACCCAGCAAGACCATATTGCAACAAGACTTCCATCATTAAGTGCCGGGTGGTGGTAGCACATGCCTTTAATCCCAGCACTCGGGAGGCAGAAGCAGGTGGAGCTCTGTGAGTTCAAGGACAGCCTGGTCTACAAGAGCTAGTTCTGGGATAGGCTCCAAAGCTACAAAGAAACCCTGTCTCAATAAGAAGAGAGAGAGAGAGAGAGAGAGAGAGAGAGAGAGAGAGAGAGAGAGAGAGAGA